TAACATCAGGATATGTGAATGTAGTGTAATTCATGATTTTCTTAAGATCTGAAAACCCTCCAAAACAAGCAAATGAAATAAATTTAGCCTCACCTCTGTGCCTGGCAAGATTATGGAAAAGATCCTCCTGGAAGCAATGCCAAGGCATAAGCAAGATAAAGATGTGATCCAAGACAACCAGAATGGTTTCACCAAGGGCAACTTGTGCCTGATGAAGCTGTTAACCTTCTATGACAGAGTGACTACATCAGTCAACAAGGAAAGACTGACCAATATCATCTATATGGAGTTCTGTAAGGCCTTTGACATGATCCCACATGACATCCTTATCTCTAAATTGGAGAGAGATGTAATTAGAGGGTGAACCATTTAGTGGATAAGGAATTGGCTCTAAGGCTGCACCCAGAGAGCTGTGGTCAATGGCTCTATGTTCAGACACAGGCTGGTGATGAGCGGTGTCCCTCAGGGGTCTGTCTTGGGACTGGTGCTGTTTAATGTCTTTATCAGTGACATAGACAGTAGGATCGAATGCACCCTCAGCAAGTTTACAGATGACACCAAGCTTAGTGGTGTAGCCGATACAAGAGAAGGAAGGGATGCCATCCACATGAACCTAATGAAGTCCAGCAAGTCCAAGTGAAAGGTGCTGCACCTGGATCAGGACAACCCTAGACAAGATTACAGACTAGGAGAACTCACTGAGAACAGCTCTGCAAAGAGGGACTTGGGGGTTCTGGTGAATGAAAAGCCCAACATGAGCCAGCAGTGCTCACTTACAACACAGAAGGCCAACTGTCCTGGGCTGCACCAACAGAGGGGTGGACAGCAGGTCGAGGGAGGGTATTATGCGCCTCTGCTCTGCACTTGGGGAACTCCTGTAGTGCTGCACCCAGGTCTGGGTCTCACAAACCAAGAAAGATAGGGGGGTCCAGAGGAGGGCTATGAAAACAATTAGGGGGCTGGAGCACTTCTCTTACAAAGAAAGGCTGAAAGAGCTGGGGATAGGGTGATGCAAAATACATTCCAAAATAGATGCTCTGGGGAGAAAAATCAAGCACAGCACTGCTTCATGATCGAGGGAAGGAATTGTCCAGCTGGGTTTGTTCAGCCCAGAGTGGAGCAGGCTGCGGGGATGCCTCATGGCAGCCTGCAGCTCCCTCACGAGGGGAACGGAGGGGCAGGTGCTGAGCTCTGCTCTCTGGGGACAGCGACAGGACCTGAGGGAACGGCATGGAGCTGGGACAGGGGAGAGTCAGGGAAAGGGTTAGGGAAAGGTTCTGCACCCAGAAGGTGGTCGGGCACTGGGACAGGCTCCCCAGGGCAGTGGACTCAGCACCAAGACTGTTGGAGTTCAAGAAATGTTTGGACAACACTCTCAGACACATGGTCTGATTTTTGGGTAGTCCTGGGTGGAGCCTGGAGTTTGACTCAATGATCCTTGTGAGTCCCTTCCAACTGAGTATGCTCCAGCCTGAAGAAGAGAAGGCTCCAGGAAGACCTCATTGTAGCATTTCAATACTTAGAACTTACAAAAAAAAAAAAAAGACAGAACAAATTTTTGACTTGGGTAGATAATGATAGGACAAGGGGATATGTTGTTAAACTGAAAGAGGGGAGATTTAGTTTGGATTTTTTGAAGATATTCTTCACTTAGGGTGGTGAAGCATGCCCCATCCCTGGAGGTGTTCAAGGCCAGGTTGTGCAACCTGATCTAGTGGGTGGCATCCCTGCCCATGTCAGGGGTGTGTGTAATTAGATGATCTTTAAAGTCCCTTCCAACCCAAACCATCCTATGATTCTATGAAATTCACATGAATTTCAGATATCTAAAGAACATTAACCTTTTTTCTTAATCCCGTGTTTGCCTGAGTCACAGTTATTGAATACCTTTACTGACACACAGAATCCAAAGCATTCTGTGATTCTCTGACATACTGGTATTTTCACTGCAGCTCTGCTGAACCATAGACACCATAAAAATCTGAGGAAAAGAGCAACAACCATATTCCAGCATCTCTCCACATGTTCTGCCAATACATTTCCAGTGCCCTGTAGCCAAATACCTAATAGCTAAGAAAATTATGTTCTCTGTAGAAGCACAACAGTTGTTAGTTTTTCCGCTCGAGAAATGGAAGTGTTTCTCCTCTCTATAGGTTTTGGCCAGCAGTGCTTCAGGACACTTCATGATGGAGAGTAGACAGATGAGGAGTATCTTTTTTCCTGAGCTTTGTATCAATAAAAGGATGCTGAAACTGAAAGGGCAAAACATTCTGAAATGACAAACAATACTTCTTTTACCCAACATAAAATTAGACTGGGAGCTTCACTTCTACAAGTGCATTGAGGCAAACAACTGTAAATTCAAAAGGAGTTTGTCAAAGTGAGTTACATAGAGAGTTATTTCCAACAAAGAGCATTAAAAATATCATGTTTGAGTTTTAGCCCAGTCTTCACCTACTTGTTATTAGAATGTCCTCTTCCTGCATCTGATTCTGCCACTCGAGTCAGCCAGTACTCACTTTGGTGCAGGATACCAGGATATGTAGTTGACTTGGGCTTATAGCTCGTCTCCTAATGCTACTGGCACATTTATTTATAACACTACCATACTAAATGTCCTTAGCATAATCAGGACCAGTTGCTGTAGTTGCATGATTTTTTAAACAGCCTCTACCCTCAAATGTTTACTATCTAAAATGCTAGAAAATAGAATTTATTCCTAACACTTTCCATTCTTTTGTCACAGCTGCACAAGCCTAACACAAAACATGTTCCCAAAACAAACAACAAAAGCACTAAGATAACTTTGGCAAACAAAAGCTGGAAATAAAACTGTTTTTCTTGAGTTAGCTGAGTACACTAATGGTGTTTAGGAATGGACAATTAGTCTTTGCATTTCTTCAAAGACAATACACCAGGCTTTTAATTTTCATTTGATGCTCTGAAAGCCATCTCATATAGAACTAAAAGGCATAAGGCATTACAAAAATCCATCCCAGGAGAACTACTTAGAACTACTAATTTGTTCCAAAACATCTAAATATGTGGTCATTTTTTCATTTGCCAGAAGCATGTAGTATCTTCCTTTATTCTCCTATGTAATTATACACAGTAAACACGAGATAAATTGTATCAATCAAGAAATTGTTTTAAAGAGGTTGAATTTTTTCTAGCCTTGCCAGATTTGAAATACTCATGTACACAGGCCTATTTTCAAACCTTCAAAGTTTGGATGACTTTCTTTCTCCTGCTCCCTCTCTGCCTTTTCCTTAGCAACATGAACTGCCTGCATAGCACACACACACACACACAAAATAATTAGTTAAAAATCACTATTTCATTCGCAACTTCATGCAGGAAAAAGGAAAAACTACCTGAATGGACCAAAATTTGCATTTGTTTTCTTAAGGCAGGAAGTATTGCTTATACACTGAATGGACAGTAGTTAGGTATTGTATGAAAAGCAAGAACTCTTATTTGTGAGCTTATTGACTGAGATAGTTTCAGAGACCTGAACAATACAAGAATCACATGGAGGAGTTGTTTGTACGCCCACATGCTGCAGAACACTTATGCTACTACTACCATGGGCCTCCAATACTCTTCTTCTGTAAAGAAGGCAGAGGTGTAGCAAGCCCTTGTATTAAAGATGCCCCAGATCTTCTGAAATGCCTGGCTTCATGCCTGCATTAAAGGAGCATGCACAAGATCTCTTAGTTTCCTAAGACTGAAAAGGATACAGTGACTGCAAACAAACTCCCACCTTTGCAATTCCCAAATTCAAGGTCTTTAAAGAACACTTATTTGCCATGGAGCAAATAAGGGATGCAAATTTGACCCCAAGTTTAAAAACCAAAGTTTTCTTCTCCCCTCCTCCCTCCCCCACCGTGGGAATGATGTAGAAAAGTAGTGTCTTTCCATTAGTTGCATTAGATGATTTTGCCTATCTTTTCCCCTTCTAGTAGACAGTTGCATACTATCAGCCCAATAATTCTTTGAATCAGGAAACCAAACTGTCCACAGATAGAGTTAAAATACACAATATTCTATTCTGACCTTATGATTATATGCTTTGTGTTGTTTCTTGTCCTCACTAAAGAGCATTATGTTTTAAAACATCAGATGTAAGAACTAATTTGGAATGTATTGTCACTATTTTATTAAAATCAGTTTTATAAGCACATGAAAGAAAATTACAAGAGAAATGCATGCAGGATAGAAAATTGTATTATATTTTTTATACTACAATATATTAGGTATCAGAGATGGCAGAAAGCCACAAGTTTGAGTCTGGAGTTTTCCTTTGTATTATTTATCAGATATCTGCTAATATTTTTCACTACTTACTGCAGGTATTTTATCCTAAAGTAAGAAACAGTATTTGCTGGAAAATTTTTGTCTTGCATGTATTTTTGAGTGCAATTGTCAAGTGACTTGTCCATGTTCTATTGGAAGCAGGTAACTGCGGAAGAAGAAGTTCCTGGATGCCTGTCTCTGGTTGATTTCAACTTTGCACTAATCAATTCTACCCCTGCCTGTTAGGAAGAGTCGCTGATATGGAAGCCTTCCTATCTGGAATTTAACTCCTAAGATACCTGAGAAGAACTATCATTTCTTTTTTATAGTCTCAGTGTAGCTGAGATTGTGGGCCTCTAAACCTAGTGAACTAGTTTTAGTCTGGTACAAATATGTGAAAAGGCTTATTGCTTGAAAGATGAAAGTCTAGGGAGGTTTCACTTTTCAGTATCTGACAGCCTTCATCATGGTAAACAAGCTGTGCGGGAAACTTCTGCATCTCCATAGGTTCCCAATTTATATGTTTGTTGCCTTATCAAACACATTGGCCACTTGCCTGAGTCAGAAAACACGATCCATAATTTTCTAACACCAATGTAAAAATTTCATCATTGCTTGAGACCTATACTAGTTACTTATGATCTGACACATACCAGAACTTCAAATTCTCCCATCAGTACAGCAAAAAGCATTCGCCCACTTACTTGCTGCTCAGGCAGCGTCTCAGTGAATATGAAGCCCCTCCTCCACAAGTACGTGAACATTCACTCCATGAACCCCAGGCGTCCCACAGCGAGTCTCGGTCTTCCTCTGAGCGAGCTGTTCTGGAGCTCTGAGGAGAGGGAAAGAGAGGAAAAAAATCAGGAAAAATCAATTCAAAGACAAAAAATACTGTTGCTAGCTTCACCTTTCTTTTTGCAGGACATCATTTTGGTCATTGAATTTGGTCATTATTTGGTCACCAAATAAATCTGTCCTCTGGCATTCCTGCTGGTTGGCATCTGGTTTTTGTTGTGAGGGTTTCTCTAGGAAGTTGATTCCGTCTTTTGAAAACCATTGTCTCAGTTTGAGACTGGTATTGATTATTATAGAAGGCAAGGTATTTTTCCTGGTTAAGAGGAGGAGAGAGGAATATTGTATATGTTAAAGATTGTACTTCAAAGTTCTGTTGCTATGTTAGAAACTATGAAATGGCATATTAAAAATTGCCTTCCAAGGCAATGTTTGGGAGAAAAATAATCACAGTGTAGTCAATCTACATGACACCAAACACATTTAACATAAGATTTTCATACATTCACTATGGTTATTTTTCTCTGCCTAAAGATCTCCTATATGTTCTCTGGATTCCCAAATTGTGTTATCTCTATTTGCTGCATTGAAAAGAGAGAATGAATGCTAACTTAAGAGCTGGACTTGTCTTATGCCAGGTGCAGGCTCAGGCAGTGCTATCACTAATGCCAGCAGCATGGCCAAAACAACTCTGTGGAGAGGCAGCACTGATGGAATCTGAAGTGTTCAGATCTTCTGGGTCTGACTTATGAATGTACAGCACCACCTGTCTCAGATAATTCAGTCATTCACATACCAACATTTCACTTTCATTCATGCAAATGTACCTTATGAACAATCTGTAGGGAGACAAATAATTTAATAATTTAGATAGATATCATCCTTCATGGACAACACAGTTTTGCTAAAGGAAATGAATAACACACAGAAATATACAGAGGTGCATGGAAAATACTTATGCCTGATGGTGACCAGGCAGTGTACTCAATCAAAACATGGCTGTGGGCAATCACGCACTGAATACTGCATTCCTACTTGTATTTGGAATAAATGAGTAGACAAGAGAAGAATACAAGGGAAGCTTTGGTTGCACATCTTCACCAGAGAAAAAACACCAAATATCATTGCTAGCCCTCGTTGGAGGCATCAACATCAGCTGTCAACACTGAGGTATTATTTTAGATAAAGTAGCTCAACACTGAAATAATTTCATCTTCATTGAACTTGTGTAGAAGTTTTGTAATGAAATCTGAAACCCTCTGAAAAACACGAATATTGTATACTGTTATTTGCAGGCATAAAACAACAACAACAAAAGAATTGGTGACAGCTTAGAGCTGTGAGCAGTTTGTCACACAGCTGAGATCCAAAACTGAACACTGTGTCTGTAGAGCAAAGGACTTAAGTCTGACACATTATGATATGAAATATGTGTTAATTCAGATTTATCAAGGTGAGAGGTTAACCATTCTTTTTTTTTTTTTTTTTTTTTAGGAGCCAAGAATACATTATACAGTCTAACCATTAATACTGAGAAAATTTTCCAACGTGGAAATTATTCAATCCTACAAAATTTTGCAAGGGCATTGCAGTACACCCACTAGTGTCACCCATGATGCTGAATAAACAGCCAGGCATTAGACTAACTGACATGGAAGCCCATGTCTCTAATTAGTTGTCTCTATACTCAGCTCAGTAATGAGGCCAAAGTCTCACACTGAACTCTTTTCTCCAGTAAACAGAAAGCCAGTAATCTCAGTGTTATACACATTTGCACCTTCTGACAGTCATTAGTCCCATACATCTGAAGTATAAAACCACTGCCAGCGCTGTTCATATAGTCCCCTAGGAGTCCTCTACCCCGAAGCAATTCATTAGCTCACAGATCAGTACTTAGGTTACACAGGTTGACAGAGTAATTACATTGTTATATTCATTCCAAAAGCCTGATACTACTCTCAGATACACTGGCACAATAAACTCGGAGTAACTAAATGAAAGCTGATCATGTTAAACCTGTGTAAGTGAGCTCAGACTGTGTGCCAAATTGGCAAACTTCTATGGATAAATAGTTTAAAAGAAAGAAAATAAAGATTTGTAGGACACCTGCCTAGCTACTTTCTCTTCATTCCCTCTCTTCCCATGGTTTCTTTCATCAAGGCACAGACCAAACCTGATCTTGAAATATAAGTCACCTGTTTGGGCAGAATGGGGAAAGAATTTTCCTCCCCACAAAACACCAAATATAGCTATTTCTTTTGGTGGGATGAGTTCAGCAAGTGGCAAGGGTCAGGTGCGAGATGCCAGCACAGCATCACACCAGACTGTCCACCCAACTGAAGCTCCCTGGCATTTCACAATAGATGCCTGCGGCACTCCACATGTTACTGCTCATTTGCCCTTCAAAAGGCATGGATGCTCCTTTTTAAAACCAGATTATGCACGTTAAAGGGCAGATACCCAAATGCCACATACATAAGTCCTTTTGGACTTCTCACACAAAGAAGGCCGACCCTTTTGAATCCTTTTGGATCTGGTTGAAAGCATGCTGAGGTTGAGACTACCAAAAAACTACAGGGATTCAGGAGCAGAACTTTAAAGATACATTGAACATTAAAAGATAAATTGAAAAGGGGACACAGCACAATTCTTAAAGATTTTTTTTTTTTTTTTTAATTATTTAGTAATCAAATCCTGTGAATGAGAAGGAAGTTAAACAGGCAAAAGGCAAGCTTTCCTCCAGCAGCTCTGTTGAAGTACCTCCACTCTGATCCTGCTGCCCCATTTTTGCACTTTTGTCAAGCAGACCTTGACAGCTGTGCTGAATAACTCGATTCTGTGTTGTGACCAGCCTCCATTCTCAGTTTGCTTAATGGCACGCAGTTTGTAATAGCATTTTAAACACATGCAGTACTTCCTTCAGCAGAACAGCTTTTGGAAGATAGTCTTGATGGGTAATTGAACCAGTTTTACATTGCTGTAACATTTAGTATGAGGTAATTTTGCTTTGGATCTACTGACAGTAAAAAAAAGCCTGAATTAATTTGTTCTGTGACACATAATACTTGATTTGTCTTCATGAGTGTACAACCATGATTTGACACTAAGTTTATCTTACCTTTATTAAAATGCAACATGATTTAATTTCAACACAATAACCACACAGGTAAATATAAAATTTAAGGTAAGATAAGTGATCAAATTCAGAATATGGCTAATCCCCACAGCTGCAGAAGATCACATATGCAACAGTTTTACAGATGTTATCCATCATCTAGATACAATCTCATTAACATTTACAAGTGAGACAAGAAGAACAACATGCCAATTTACTGAGTTTATTTGATCTGTTTCCTAAAGCGTATTTTTAAATGGCAACTTCTGTTTGCACTTTTACTCTGCTAAGAAGAAAATGCATATTTACACTTTTAGTTTAGAATAAACTGAGTATCTTCAAACTGAAAACTTGCCCTGAAGACTCAGCACTAGTTGAAAGCCCAGTCAATGACATAATTAGAAAACGTTGCAAGGTAAAGTTGCATGAACCAAGTACTCTTACCTCATCACAAATTGTAAGCATCAGCACAGCTAGACATTCTAAGGGTCCAAATTTTTCTGAAATAAATTGTACTCCCACCCAGAGGAAAGCCATGTGCCTGTTATTTGCATTCCAAGATTTGTTATAAGACCTATATATTCCCAGAAAGCACGTGATCTCAAGCTGGAATAGGCTCCAAGTTTTCTTTTAACAAGTGGAATAAACATAATTCATGTCAACTCAATCCATGTTTAATGTTAAAGAAAGTAGAAGTGGTTTTCCCTCCTATGAACTACACAGTTAAGACTGAGCCTGAAGTTCTAGCAATGCCTGAAAAGCCATTTTAAATCTGAAGAAGATTATGGATCTACTGCAGACTTAAAAAATATATACCATTACCAGCTAAGGACATGCTGTTTAGCACAGACTTTTCAGAAGCAGATTATACAACTAATTAATAGTTTCTGCCCACTTTCAACAAAGTTAACTAAATTGAAGAGCTTACATTAAAAATATTCACGATGATAGTTAAGAACATCTCACTTCTCTACAATACAAGGACTGCTACAGTACTCCTAAAAGCCCTAGAGTTCTTACTTACCATAAAGGGCAAGCAGGGGGGGAAAAAGAGGGAAAGAAGAAGAAAAGCAGAGGAAGGTACATACCTCTAAAGCTGCCAGGAGCAATGTAACCACCAGCCAAGGCTTGCTTTAACTAACACTTCTCTCTTAGAAGTCTTTTTAACCCTGCCAGAAGTACCTCAGGTTGGTACTTCTCTAAACGTCATCATGCACCGAAAGAGGAGAATACAAATGCTCATCAAGATCTGCTATACCCTACTGCTGATACATAAACAGCTTCCTTCTTTCTTCTGTCCATCCTAAGTAGGGACAGCCTCAGCCATCTCAACCTCAGCTTTCCAAGACGTACCCACCACTTTATTCTGACACCTACATCATCAACGGTAGAAATGTTCCCCACTGAAGGCAATTTGCTTATAAATGACCTACATAAAACAAAGAAGTCTGTTAGCACTAATTGAAACCACCTTGCTGTTTATACCTCATTACCCTAATACACACTTAACCTGAGGGTGATCCTTCAGCTACCACCCAAAAGAGCAGCTGCAGGGGAAAGGGGGCCTGCAGATGCTCAAGGAGTTCTCTAGTGAGAAAGAACACTCTATGCTTTTGGACAAGACAGCATAAAAAATCATGTGTACAAAATGAAAGCATGAAAAAAATGAACTCACTGTTAGTGGATTAAGCATGCTGTTGAAAATGCTTACAAAAACAAAACAAAACAAAACAAAAAAACAAAACAAACAAACAACAACAACAACAAAAAAAAAAAACAAAAAACAATACAAGGGAGTGGGGGGGCTAAACTATGAGCTGAACAAAGGGCTTCTTAGAATATAAACAGAAATAGTCTGATATAATCAAGTAAGCCTAAAAGAATTGTATCCAATTTTATAGTAGGAAAAATAAACAATAAAATCC